GTAGGGAAACAAAGGTAGCAGGTGATAAAATATCTATATGTAAATATATATTACATATGTAATCTATTTTATATATTATACTAAAGTTGTTATGGTAGAAATAAAATCAAAACCCTTTAGAACCAGAAGAAATCAGAGATCAACTAGTCTAATTGCCCCAGTGTATAAATAAGAAAATTTGTGAATAATCATTGCCATTGTGTATTAGTACGAAAGGAATAATTTTAACTCTGAAGTAAAACAATGGTTTTTTAATATTTTCAACTTTATAGCACATTAGATAATTACATATTGATCATAAAATTAATAAATCAAGCAGATTTTTTCTACATAATTCAAGTCAGATTTAATAATTTCTTCACTAATTCTTTGTACTGAGAAAGGGTATTTTCATTGTCTCCATCATTCTTAAGACTAACAACAGACTTTTTGTAATCTTCAACTTATTTAGTATCAAGGAGCTCTTATTTACTTCCAGATTTTTCTCTGCAGCTTTAATTTGGAGAAGCGTGTTCAGGATATTTTTTTCTGAGGAGCTATTTTTCCATATATACTCTTCCATGTCTGCTTCAGTCTTAGTTTTCTCCCATTCTTCAAGTTTTCTAAGACTCATTGTATAAAACTGTTAGCAGATACATTGCATAATCATAATTTTGTCTCTTTAAAGAGCACCTATCTGTTTTAATGGTAGGCACATCTGTGGTCTTGCAATATCGCTCTCCTACAAGTTTAATAAGTTTCTTCTTTGCATGATTATCTAAATTCAAACTGGAAAGTTCAACTTACTCATGCTTTAGGGTTTCGAATAGATGGTCCTGATGAAACATAATCAGCTGTGTCAGTTTCAACTGGAAAATGCCAAATTTCTCATCACTGTCTAGTGCAGCTGGCTACTCAATGCAGAAATCTCTAAGAGCTTCATAGCGCTTTTAAAGTGCTACGGGAGTCAAATGCAGAAAACTGGGAATCTTTAAAAGTTCTAGATTTCCATCCTTTGCCATAGGCACCCACTTCTTTCCTGGATAACCCATTCATACAAAGAGATACTACAGAGTTTAAATGGTGCTGCAATAGGGGAATCCTGTTTACCAGGCCAGCCCTGGTCAACAGCCATTTTATCTTCCCCAGGAGGTAGTGCCTTTCTTCTCAGTGGCTTTTCAGATTTGGATGTTCCTTCTGTAGTACATGGGCTTGGACCCTGGGCGAGAGTGGCCGGAGGCACAATAGAGAAAGCAGGTAAGGTCATGCCCCTGGCTGCAGGACCAGCCACGTGGGGAATGTGGCAGCCACCATGTCTACGAAGACACCAAGCCGGGAGGACAAGCCAAGTTGTGCACTTCTTACTGCATCACATCATGAGGTGCACAATGACAACTGTCTCATTACTGGCACATTTAATTTTGATCACTTGGATAAGGTGGTATCTGGCCCACTGTAAATTTACCATTTTTTCCTTTGTTATTAATAATCAATCTGTGAGTACATATTGTGAGACTGTGTAAATAACCCTTTCCTCATCAAACCCAATGGTTTTAACATTCATTGATTAATGACAGTCATCACTATGATAGTTGCAAAATGGTTATTTTTCTAACTCTGTTGTACTTTCTACATTTATTATATGGCATTCTACTGAAGGAAGAACCCATCTTCCTCTATTATTTATTTATTTATTTTTAATTAATTAATTATTTTTTTATGCCTACATCCAAGTACTAACCAGGACCGACCCTGTGTATTACTTTTTGATCAGGGAAAAATATCAAAAGTTTAAAACAAGAATTGGAAACCATTCTAACTGGAGCGTGGTTGATTCTCAGTCCCCCTCAGTGTGCTGAGCCCAGCGTCTGTGACTGGGACCTTCATTCCTCTGCTTATAGAGCTCTCAGCCTGTGGGAAATCACACCAATTCAAAGCTCACTTACTATTTTGTTGTCTAGCTGGTAGTTCCAGATATTGTAAAACAACACCCCAGTCAGTCTCAACAGCTGGGGAAGAAAATGATAATCACAAAACTCGTTATTCCAATGTTCCCCAAACTAAATGTGTTTAGGATTCATCTGAATGCAGGGGAATGTGTTTAAAGTGTAGCTTGCTGGGGTGCGCCTCCTGGCTCCCCCTCCCCCAGGTTCCTATATAGTCAATCTGAGTTAGGGCCCAGGGATCAGCACTCCAGGTGGTCTGCGGATCAAACTTTGAAAAACATCAACCTGCGAAATAATGGAAGGCAACTCTCCCTTGCTCTAGAAGTCAGTGCCATTGGCAACTTCCAAAGTGTCCGCGCCGAAAGGCTGTGTGAAATAAAAGAAGGTGTTCATCTTTCCATGCCCCACAGGCTTTCAGAAACCTACATTTGGTTGATACCACTCGGTGGGGGAACCTAAGTGCTGGGATGAATATGGAGGCGAAGAGACCACCCCCCTAGAGTTTCTCGCTTTGGGCAGAGCCAACCGCTCATGCGACGACGCGCAGGTGGACGGGCCGGGGTGGAGGTGGGGTTAGGGGCGG